ACAAGTGTGGGAGACAAGTGAAGACTCATGCAGCCCAAAGAACCCAGAGTGGGAGACAAGTGTGAGAGACAAGTGGGAGACAAGTGTAAACTCATGCGGCCCAAGGCAACCAGAGTGTGGGACAAGTGTGGGAGTCAAGTGGGAAACAAGTGGGAGACAAGTGCAAGCTCATGCGCCCCAAGACACCGAAAGTGAGAGACAAGTGTGTAAAATCACGCGGCCCAAGACACCCAGAGTGGGAGACAAGCGTGGAAGACAAGTGTAGGAGACAGGTGTAAACTCATGTGGCCCAAGGCACCCAGAGTGGGAGACAAGTGTGGGAGACAAGTGGGAGACAAGTGTAAACTCATGCGGCCCAAGGCACCCAGAGTGGGTGACAAGTCTGGGAGAGAAGTGACAGACAAGTGTAAACTCATGCGGCCCAAGGCACCCAGAGTGGGAGATAAGTGTAGGAGACAAGTGTGGAAGACAAGTGTGGGAGAGAAGTGTAAACTCATGCGGCCCAAGGCACCCAGAGTGAAAGACAAGTGGGAGACAAGTGTAAACTCATGCGGCCCAAGGCACCCAGAGTGGGAGACAAGTGTGGGAGACAAATGGAAGACAAGTGTAAGCTCATACGGCCCAAGGCACCCAGAGTGCGAGACAAGTGTGGGAGACAAGTGTAAACTCATGCGGCCCAAGGCACCCAGAGTGGGAGACAAGTGCGGGAGACAAGTGGGAGACAAGTGTAAACTCATGCGGCCCAAGGCACCCAGAGTGGGAGACAAGTGTGAGGGACAAGTGGGAGACAAGTGTAAACTCATGCGGCCCAAGGCACCCAGAGTGGGAGACAAGTGCGGAAGACAAGTGTAAACTCATGCGGCCCAAGGCACCCACAGTGGGATGCAAGCCCGGAGACAGAGGCAAAATCATGCGGCCCAGGGATGCAACCCTTTTAAAGGAGTCAGAACCCCATACAGGTAAACCTGCTTGGGGAAAAAATTATACCAGCGTTGACCCCAAACAGATGTGGAAATTTTCAATTGTATTGTACATGCGAACCAAGGAACCGTGGAAGACAAGTGTGGGATGATACAAGTGTGGGAGACAAGTGAAGACTCATGCAGCCCAAAGAACCCAGAGTGGGAGACAAGTGTGAGAGACAAGTGGGAGACAAGTGTAAACTCATGCGGCCCAAGGCAACCAGAGTGTGGGACAAGTGTGGGAGTCAAGTGGGAAACAAGTGGGAGACAAGTGCAAGCTCATGCGCCCCAAGACACCGAAAGTGAGAGACAAGTGTGTAAAATCACGCGGCCCAAGACACCCAGAGTGGGAGACAAGTGTGGAAGACAAGTGTAGGAGACAAGTGTAAACTCATGCGGCCCAAGGCACCCAGAGTGCGAGACAAGTGTGGGAGACAAGTGGAAGACAAATGTAAACTCATGCGGCCCAAGGAACCCAGAGTGTGACAAATGGGAGACAAGTGAGGGAAATCATGCAACCAACCAGACCCATAGTGGAAGACAAGCGGGAGACAAATGAAAGACAAATGGGAGACAAGTGAAGGAAGTCATGCGACCAACCGGACCCAGAGTGGGAGCCAAGTGGGAGACAAATGAAAGACAAATGGGAGACAAGTGAAGGAAATCATGCGACCAACCAGACCCAGGGTGGGAGACAAATGAAAGACACATGGGAGAAAAGTGAGGGAAATCATGCGACCAACCAGACCCAGAGTGGGAGACAAGTGAGAGACAAATGAAAGACAAATGGGAGACAAGTGAGGGAAATCATGCGACCAACCAGACCCAGAGTGGAAGACAAGCGGCAGACAAATGAAAGACAAATGGGAGACAAGTGAAGGAAGTCATGCGACCAACCGGGCCCAGAGTGGGAGACAAATGAAAGACAAATGGGAGACAAGTGAGGGAAATCATGCGACCAACCGGAGTCACAGGAAATCATGCGACCGACCAGACCCAGAGTGGGAGCCAAGTGGGAGACAAATGAAAGACAGGTGTAGGAAATCATGCGACCAACCAGACCCAGAGTAGGAGACAAGTCGGAGACAAATGAAAGACAAATGGGAGACAAGGAAGGGAAATCATGCGACCAACCAGACCCAGAGTGGGAGACAAGTGGGAGACAAATGAAAGACAAGTGTAGGAAATCATGCGACCAACCAGACCCAGAGTGGGAGACAAATGAAAGACAAATGGGAGACAAGTGCGGGAAATCATGCGACTAACCAGACCCAGAGTGGAAGACAAGCGGGAGACAAATGAAAGACAAATGGGAGACAAGTGAAGGAAATCATGCGACCAACCGGACCCAGAGTGGGAGACAAGTGGAAGACAAATGACAGACAAATGGGAGACAAGTGAAGGAAATCATGCGACCAACCGGACCCAGAGTGGATGACAAGTGGAAACAAATGAAAGACCAGTGGAAGACAAGTGAAGGAAATCATGCGACCAACACGACCCAGAGTGGGAGCCAAGTGGGAGACAGACAAATGAAAGACAAACGGGAGACAAGGAAGGGAAATCATGCGACCAACCAGACCCAGAGTGGGAGACAAGTGGGAGACAAATGAATGACAAGTGTAGGAAATCATGCGACCAACCAGACCCAGAGTGGGAGACAAGTGGGAGACAAATGAAAGACAAATGGGAGACAAGTGAGGGAAATCATGCGACCAACCAGACCCAGAGTGGAAGATTTTACCAACGTTGACCCCAAACAGATGTGGAAATTTTCAATTATATTGTACATGCGAACCAAGGAACCCAGAGTGGAAGACAAGTGTGGGATAAAAGTGTGGGAGACAAGTGAAGACTCATGCAGCCCAAAGAACCCAGAGTGGGAGAGAAGTGTGAGAGACAAGTGGGAGACAAGTGTAAACTCATGCGGCCCAAGGCAACCAGAGTGGGAGACAAGTGTGGGAGTCAAGTGGGAAACAAGTGGGAGACAAGTGCAAGCTCACCTTTGAGGATATGACCCTGGAGCAGCACACCAGGCCCGAGAAGCCGCACAGCATCCTCATTGGACTTCTACGTGGACGGCCACTGAAGATCCTTAGAGCAATAGAAGATGGAAACGGCCTTGAAGCCTGGAGAGAGCTGAACAAGCAGTTGGCACCGAGAACACGTTCGAGGAGCATTGCATTGCTTCAGGCGTTCTTGTCCCACCTGCAGTTCACCAAGGACAAGACAGTGCTGGAGCAGGTGCTTGGGCTTGAGAGGCTGGCAGATGAGTACCACAGTGCGGCAGAGGAGGAGATCTCAGACAATAAAAAATTGTCAGTCTTGCTCAGGGTAGTTCATCCAGCCCTGAGGCAACACCTTCAGCTGTCGATGGATGAAAGCGCCACCTATGCCACAACACGTGAGAAGGTTGTCAACTACGAGAGGACTACATGAAGCTGGAATTCATCGACGGTGTACAAGGAGCTGGACATACGAGATCGAGATCGAGGAGACGAACCAGTGCCTATGGAGGTTGGCAGAGTCAAGGGCTTCAACAAGGGCAAGAGCAAGAAAGGAGGCAAAGGAAAGCCCTATGGGAAGGACGACAAAGGGAAAGGCAAAGGAAAGAGCGATGGCAAGTCAAAGGGAAAACAGAATGACACCTACAAGGGCAAGGGCTTCAAGGGCTATGGAAAACAAGATGGACAAGGGAAAGGAAAAGGTGGCCTAGCCTACGACGCTTGTAAGCTTTGTGGAGGCAAAGGTCATTGGAGTCGAGAATGTCCTGTACGTTCTTTGCGCCAGGTGGCAAAAGAGAATGAGACCCCAGCAGCTTCGAGTGGAGCTGGAGTTCAAAGCAGTGCGCAAAGTTCTACAACAGGGACATCAACAGTGAGAAGGGTCCAGATCATTGACTTGGACGACATGGATGAGCCCGACGGTGAAGCATCAATTCGAATGGTGAGCGCTGAGGAGTTCGACATGACCTACAGCGACGATGACAAGGATTGGGAGGTCTGTGAAAACGGAGAAGCTGGTGGAGACGCCTACTTTGAGACCTTCATGGACCTGGACTACAACGTGGAGAAGCACATGGAGCTTGGTTCAAGGCCAACACAGAGAGCCTTTGTGAGGAATGTCAACATGGAGGAGTTCGTGGACGTGATCCTGGACAGTGGGGCAGATGTTTCTGTCTTACCTATGGCCTACAGTGGCATTGGGCAACCTTTGACTGGAAAGAGCATCTTGCGTGATGCACAAGGGCGCAAGATGGGTGGTGGAGAACTCCGACGTGCAGTGGTTGTTCTTCAAGATGGACAAGGCAATGAGGTGGCATTTGTCCCTGGACAGAAAGGTACCGTTTGTGGTCACCTTGAACTCCAAGAACTACCAGGACAGCAGAGGTCAGGTGGATCGCTTGGACTTCCCTTACAGGTCCACCATCATCTTCAAGAACCACGTTTGGGAGATTGTGGAGGTAGCTGAAAGGTCTGACAAAGAAGGCGAGATTGAGGAGTGCCAAGGTGAACCTACAATTGTGGTTTTTTTCTTTACAAGGGAGATGGAAAACGTATAGTACCTGGGAACAATTAACACTGGGGCAGATAGATGATCCTTTTCTGAGGCCAAAATCCCCAGAACCGACAGAGGAAAAGAAACAGCAGCAAGGATTTGGATGGCATGGAAGGACATTGGAAGACGGTGTCTATGAAATCGACGATGAGGACGAGCCTGAAATGGGTTTGCAGCAACATGCTCCAGAAGGTGATCCTATGCCTTTGGTGAGAGCAGAAGAACTTGGAGAAGACTTTGAGGAGATCGAGGTGGATGGTGAAAAGTTCATACAGAGCTCACCGCTGAGGAAGTTACGGGAGGCTTTGAAAATTTGTGGACTTCCCAAAGGACGTTCAAAAGCAGATGCTTGGGAGAGGTTGAAAATTCACCACAAGAACTTCTCTGAGTCTGTGGCTGTGGAATTGACCAGAAAGGAGTTTGACAGAAAGAAACAACTTGAAGGTGGAGACAGAGCCCGAGGGCAAAGCATCCCACGTATGCCCACCAAGGCAGAAAGACAGATTCATGAACTTTGTTATTGGCCCTATGAGTCGTGGTGCCAATCCTGTGTTGCAAGGCGAGGCAAAGCAGATCATCACCACCGACTTGCAGAAGGTTTACGACGTGCAGAAAGCAAAAGTGAGTTCCCTGTGGTGAGCATGGACTTTTGTTTCACACGTGGCCTTGTGGAGCCTGAAGAAGCTGATCGGGAAGACCTCAAACTATATGGTGGAGATTAACGAGGTGGAGTTTGCTTGGTGGTTACTGAGGACTGGGGCAATTCAGTGTTGTGAAGTCAATGGAAGGGTGGAAAGAGAGATTGAGACAGTGAGAGGCCTGGCGAGGACTTTGATTTCACATCTGAAGAATGGTGCAAAGTCCGAGATCAATACCTACGGTCCAATCTTCCAATGGGCAATGAGACATGCTGGATGGCTGCTGACGCACTTCAGGAGAAAAGCAGGTAGTCCCACAGCATACGAGATGACAACAGGTCGGAAGTATGTGGGAAAACTTGCAGTTTTTGGAGAGCGCGTTTTAGCGCGGCTACCCACTGCCAATGATGAGGATAAGTTTAAGGTTGGGGCTTGGATTGGCAAAACTGATCGAGGAGATTTCCATGGTTGCTATGACTGATGGACTGAGATGGACAAGGACGATCAGGAGGATGCCGTTTCCTCTCGATGCGGAGGTGCTGTCCCAAGTCAAGATGTGACCATGGAACGTAGCTTTTGGTCAAATTGGGACTAAGGCATCACCACTGACTACAAAAGTCCCTTGAGTTGCACTACCACCAGATGTGGCAGCAGCTCTACGGCAAGAAGCTCAACGTGCCAAAGCTCTTGCAGGACCAGTTCAACTACGTGGTGCACCAGTTCAACAAACCTTGGAGGATGTTCAACCAGATGGACAAGCAGAAGGACAAAGGAGACAGGCAGGGTAGTTGGATGAAGCTGGCTCAGACCCGTCAAGCTCAACTTTGAAGTCTTCTATAAGTTCATCAGAGAAGGCTGAGATTGACGATGACACACTCTTGGCCGAAATGATGGAGGACGTACAGGAGAACAAGGTTTTCACTGAAGGCGTGGAGACAGAGAAAACTGAGACTGAGAAGTACAGTGATGCAGAGGTTCCAGAGGAAGACCAGAGCCCATCGAAAGCCATGAGGGAGTCTCTAAGAAAGTTGCCAAAGACGTCTGAATCGTCAAGTTCGAAACCAACAGAAATTGCAGGCGATGGAGTACAGGCAGCTGGCAAACAGAATGTAAGGATGGTTATCGAGGGCCAACTCTTGGAGGATGGGGACTTGGACTTGGACTTTCCCGAGAAGCCTCCTGAGTTGGACTACGACCAGTTCTTTGCAGTTGATTCCAAAGCCGCTGATACAAAGTTGTTGAAGGATGTGAACCTGGAGGACTATACCGTGTTGCAGACCAAGCTGGTATATGATTGGAGGTGGCGCAACGACCAATGGACAAGGAGGGCAAGATTGGTGGCAAAGGACTTCAACTGGATGGACCCCAATCGGAGCGATTGCTTTGCTCCTGCAGGTGGTCAAAGCCTACTTCGTTTGATCCCTGCGATAGCCCAGTTGCGCACTTGGAAGCTGGTGACATTGGATGTCAAAGATGCCTACCTGATATATGATCAACCGCGCAAAGTCAAGATCACACTGGAAAGGGCACTAGTAGAGAAGTTTAACTTACCTCAAGAATGGATTCTGGGCAAGGTTTTACCAGGACACCGTGAAGGAGCAGCAGAGTGGTTTCAGAATTTGAGGAGTACTTTGAAGGCCGCGAAGTTGGTCCAATACATGGAAGTTCAATAGTGTGGACAAAGTCAGACCGCACTATGGCCATTTTGGTCCATATGGATAACATGGTGGTGAAAGGCACCGACGACACCGTGAAGGAGTTGATTCAGTGCTTGCACGGTCAGTACAAGATTACAGGGGAAGCAGGTGATCAACTAACCGTCTTCAAACGTTCTATCGAGGTCACGGAGAAGGAGATCCATATCAAGGTGAACAACAAGTACTTGGACGGTTTGGTGAACCTATTTGGAGAATTCGACAGAAAAAACACTAGGTAAGCAGATTGTGGACGAAACGCCTCTGACTTCCGAGAAGGTTATCAAGGGTTGTTGTACATCTTCAGGAGATAGGCCAGATGTTCAGTTCCATGTGAAAGAGCTAGCAGGGAAACGACTGTGTCCTATGAAGGGAGCAATGAAAACGTTGGAGAATGTGGTTGATTACCTTGCTGGCACTATGGATTTTTACGTGAAGATGACCAGAAGGAACCCCGCCCAGAGTTTCCGTTGCAGAACCAAAGGAGTGACAACACCTCCATTCTACGAGGCGGACCCTGCATGTTGGTTGTTGGAGGTGGCAACCGATTCAGATTGGAGCGGCAACAAGTTGTCAAGGAGGTCAACAAGCTGTGGTTTCGTGTTCTTGGGGGAATTTGGATTTATTTTCGTTCGAGGACCTAGCGTAACATCACCTTGAGCAGCACAGAGAGTGAGTTTGTTCCTTTGGTTTCAGGTGCATGTGAAGGGCTTCTACTTCGAGCAGTTTTTCAACAATTGGTTGGTAAGAAGATACAGCTGAATCTCTACGGGGACAATTCCCTGAAACCTCTTTTGAAACCAAGCAATAATTTCACCGGTTGAACTCTGCCTGAAACCACCAACCCACGCTCCTTCGGACGTTACCTTTGCGTTCGTGAAAAAGAGAAGCTTTTCTACCTTTGGTGCATTCAGAGGAAGAGGTTCTTGTAGCTCACCCCCATTCTTGCTTGAAACGCTGGCCTAGGTAAAGAAAAATGGTCCTGTGTTACAGGTATACGCAAGTTTTCTTTCTTGCTCTGAACCGCTTAGAACCACGTATACAGCGGCCCCAGAAAAGGCCCCGTTCCCACACCAATGCCGTTTTGGCAAAACCCAAATGGCCTAGGCCTTGTGCAAACTGCTTTCCTGTAACCACACCTTCCTCAGCTAAACCTCCAACCCAGTCAGCCATCCATTGAGCTCTTTTCGGAGAGAGCCCCAGTCTATATATGGGGTAATCGCTGTAGAGCCTAATCCACGTAACATGCACACCACCCCTCTCTGCTTCGCCCACTTGAACGGAAACCCAAGCGTTGACAAGTATAGGAAGGCCAATACTATGCCCCTCCGTCCACCTGGTTCAGCTCCGTTTCCAAATCATCTGCAAAGACGAGAAGTTGCATCTCCGGTCCGAGCATCTCGTGCATCAAGTGTACACCGGACCCTGCAATCCATCCCTACCAGTATGAAGCACAGCCCACTCCAAATGTTCCCATATTATTATTATAGAGATGTCGGTCACCCTCCAAGATGCGACAAAAGAGCAAGTCGACCTTGTTCTACTGGAGCATGTAGGAAACACCCATGAGCTTTGCTAATATCCCCCACTAGGCTGAACAAAATTGCTTTCTTCTTTTTGTAGTAAGCAAGCAGGTTTTGTTTTCTCTGGCTCAGTTGCATGGCCATTGCAGCAAAGGAGGGTGTTTGTAAGGTGAAAAACTTGAGTGGAAGGTTGTTGTGGGTCCAACAGAGGCAGGGTCGCGATTTCCAGTTGCGACGCCTGGACACCACAACCAATGTGGCAGATACAGGTACCAAAACACTCCCAGGACGGCGCATGCAATTGCTACTGCACCTGATGGGATTTTCCGATGACTGGGAGGAACTTCCAGGAATTTAACGAGGGAAAGCCAAGAAGGAAAGCCGATAGCAGTTGAAGAGCACCAGAAAGTGGTGCACTCACAAGTACCGGAGGCCGACCAATCTCCAAGCAAGATGAATAAGTTAACGAAACGATTGATGAAGCTGACGCTTGGGGTTGAAGCTTTGGGCCCATCCAGGAGTCCAAAATGCTGTGTGGTGGCAGAATAGACTTCGAGCTCATGGACGGTCCTCTTCCTTGCGCTGGTGATTGTGACGCTGATGGCACCAGTGGGAATTTTGCTCACGATTGTGCACATCATGTACAAGAAGATCGAGAGTACCAGGAACGCCATGAATTGGTTGAGGATGAAGGTTGGGGAAAGAATATTGCGTATGCGTATCAGAGCTCAGGAGCAAGCGCGTACAGGCATCTACCTGGAGTCTGAGGGAGAAGAGGATTCTGAAGAGGAAAATTTCGAACTGGAGGACAAGATGCATAATTAAATAGTTATTTCTGAGGAAGAAAGCACATAAATCAGAACCTGCAAATGGGAATACCTTGGAAACGCAGATGGAGTGGAACACTATGTGGTGAAGAAGCTCTCCTGACTGAGACGTTGACCTATGGGGAATTGATTTGGCAGGAGATTGGCGAACTCATGCAGATCTAACGTGCAGTTCAACTTTGTAGCCCAGAGGTACGCATCAAGGCGGTGAACTATCTGAGGAAGACGCTGCTACATGAGTACTATGAGGCCGGTAAGATCACACCAGGAAAACGGTTGGAAGAAATAGAAATGCCAGACGCATGGATGACAGTTTATTATAATTGGGATTATGTCAATGACGAGGACTACAAGAGAGACCAAAAAAATGATGAAGACAGATTTTCATTGTCAGAACCGAGAGACGAAGCTGAAGGAGGTAAACGAAAAGACGACATGGTTTGGGTGACCTTGGAAAACCCAATCGATTATCCAGAAGGAGCAGTACCATCGACATGGAGACCTTTAGCCTTTTAAAAGCAAGGGCAAGACTTTCACGAAGTGATGGGTTGTAACTCCATTCGGAAGTTGGGATGTACAAAACACCAGGGGTTCGGACCCCTCTAGGAGGTTTAGATGTCGTATTACGTCGCAGACGCAAAGGATTATACACCTTGTTAAAAAACGAGAAAAACGTGAGGTTTTCACAATATTTCCAGAAACGATGACATCTGTAAAAGATATATTTCGCGTGGCAGGTACAATAGATGGTCGTGGTTGAGGTCCGGCAGGGAACACTGGTCGTGGATGGTCGTGGTTGAGGTCCCGCAGGGAACACTGGGCGTGGATGGTTGCGGTTGAGGTGCGGCAGGGAACACTGGGCGTGGATGGTCGCTGTTGAGGTCCGGCAGGGAACACTGTGCGTGGATGGTCGTGGTTGAGGTCCGGCAGGGAACACTGGGCGTGGATGGTCGCCGTTGAGGTCCGGCAGGGAACACTGGGCGTGGATGATCGTGGTTGAGGTCCGGCAGGGAACACTGGGCGTGGATGGTCGTGGTTGA